TGTGATGTTTGTTCACTGCTAGACATCATTGTAGGATGAAACTGAATAAATTGGAATAGGTATATAGTTCTGATTATTTATTTATACTGTATAATAGGGTGTAAACTGTAAGTTTGTTACAGTGTAATATAATATAATACAATATAAAATGATTTAATACAACAGTAAATGTCTGAGGATAAATGGGTTAAACTGCTCATATATGCAGTACATCAAACATATATTCATTAAATGCGTAACAATAATAGTTAACTATAAACAATAACAGCATATACTCACAATTTCAGAAAGTGTAACATGACTCAATATGTAAAGTTATGAAGTGAATATAATCATATTTTAGAGATATATTCTCACTATAATGTGACTAATCTACATATTATATTGATTTATTAATGGAAGATCTCTTCAGACAAGCGGCACTTCTCCACATTATGCAGGAAATGTGGGAATAATGAACAATAATATCTGCTAATATTACCTTATATCAACATTCTGTCATCATGACAATCAGACAGCAGTGTGTGTGTGTGTGTGTGTGTCAGGATGAAGAGGACTGAAACACGACAGGATGAAGAGGACTGAGAGTAAATAAACTGCAGGAACTGATTCACGGTGATCCGAGTGTGAAACGGCCTGAAACGCGTCGTGAGGATGTAAACACTGATCTGATGTCGAACTGAGACCCGCGGAGATCACAACACACACACACACACACACACACACACACACACACACACACACACACACACACACACACACCTACAGTTATAGCCTTATATGACTGATGTGAGTCACATTAACGCGCTGATGCTGCTCGGCTTGCGGCTCCGCGTCGCAGTGAACGCGTGGGAGTCAAACACACACACGCGCACGCACACACACAGAGAGAAACACACGCACATAGAAACGCGCACATAAGAACACACACACACACACACACTCACACACACGCACACACACACACACACACACACACACACACACCTGAATACTCACCGTCGTGTGTTCAGATCAGCATCTCCTCCATCAGAGAGCAGAAGAGCGACACACACACTCTCATCAGCAACAGTTCTGGCTTCAGACGAGCCGCTGATGACGTCGCGCATAGACACGCCCTCTCCCCGACATCCGCTAATCAGAGGATCGGCCGCTGAATGTGGGCGTGGCGCGCAGCAGCATCAGAGATCAGCCGCTGATAACACTTGGGTGAACTCAGTCTGAATTCAGTACATTAAAACACACACACACACACACACACACACACACACACACACACACACACACACACACACACACACACACACACACACACACACACACACACATGTGTTTAAACATGTATTTCTTTATTTATATATAAATATGCAAGCAAACACTCAAAATTACACTTAAACATTCAAATATTTACATTTTTAAATAATATTTAATATAAACACGGACATGTGTTCTGCAGAAGTGTTCCTAAACCCAAACATTTACAAAAGAGGAGTAAAGCCCGTCTGCTTGTAGAGATGGACGCTCCTCAGTGCAGCACCGTGTCTGTATCTCTGGAGCAGTGCTGGATCAGGACACCTCATCTTCTCTTGTGACAAATCACAGCAATAACCCTGCATGTACAGTACAGAAGAAGCCAGTCATATGAGGAATCAAAACCCATGACACACCATCAACACAACGGGCTAGTCCAGCACCTACATAATGAGTCTAAACTACTACCAACATGTGGATTTAACAGAAACTGAGCCCTGCTGTCAGCATAAATCAAAGACATTTGTGTTTTCAGAGAATTAATAACTGTACTTTAGACAAAAACTGTTTATTTACATTCAGACAAAATTCAACATTAAGGAATCCTGCCATAAAACACATTATATTCACATTATATTACATCATATACACACTTCATATGTCACATTACTGATCTCTCAGAAACAGCAGAATATCAGTCAGTTCTGTTATTTCATATAGTAATGTCCAACCAGCTTATTAAACACACACCAATCTACTGATGTAAAGACTGGAGAAACTTTACAGTCACTGCAGCGATAAAGAGAAATGAACATGTCAGCTCTCAGAGAGAAGAGCAGAAACAAGAAAAGCAGAGGAACAGACCATAAACAAACAGAGACCTGCACTGAATCAGCACAAACTACAGACACAGTGAAATAATCCTGCAGTGTGTGTGTGTGTGTGTGTGTGTAACTGCAGCGCAAACAGAACTGTGAAGTAGTTAATAATGAGTATTAGTTAACAATCATAATAATAATATTAATCATAAGTGAGTGTGTGTCATTAGCATTAACATGGGGCAGAGGGGCAGACGGATGGATTCATTACCAGGTCAGAGAACATGTCCTGATATAGTTGAAAGCACAATGCACAGCAGCAAAGCAAACACACAGAAGGTAAACAACAACACGTCAGGCAGATCGTGGAGAAGTTCAACATTAGCTTCACTAATTTACTTCAAATATAAAGATTTCCAGATTGATGGAAGTTCCTGAAAGTGATGAGCGCCGTTCATCGTGTTCTTGTTTCCTCTTCTCGGCTGCAGGCTGCTGTGGTCTTTTCTGCTCCTCGCATCATTATAATCATGTCGCAGACACGGGTGGGCCGGGGCGCACACAGAAAAACAGCTGCACACATGTTTCTTTGTGTTCGCCATTAACTGCATTTTTCAAATGTATTCATCAACACAGTACAGGATAGGACAAACATTACAAAAAGGTGCTACAACATTGCTGTAAACACAGTCAAAATAAATAAAACTAAACAATTAAGAACAAACAATGAAGAACATGCATTGCTCACAGAATAAGACCGTATATACAGATGAACATATGAAACACAGAAGCCGGTCAGATGCTCGTGTCCTGCAGGAGCAGTGTTCTGCTAGAGTTCAGCAGTTTTATTGAGCTTAGGGTCGGGAAAGCTTCAGTCTGTTGGTTTACACATGGCCATTCTCAGTCTTTCTCCATATTCCTTTCCTTTTCCTTTATCAATATATTTTATTCACACTCAGCTTATGTTAAAGTTATTAAATACATATTAATAATTAATTTTGAGCAATAGAGATGGTGCCCCTGCCAGAGCTGGTGCCCTACACAGTCTGC